GTGGAGGCTGCGCAGGGGAGGGGTGGGTGGGGCAGAGCGCTGAGGCGCGGGGCGGCGGGTAGGCCGGGCGCCGCGGCCCAGCCCTGCCAGCACAGGCGCCGCTCACTGGGCGCCCCGAGGGCCCCGGGGCCTTTGGACCCTGGCAGGCAGCCGACGGCTGCGCCCTGAGCAGCGGCATCGGCCTCACCCTCACCTCCTGCTGCGGGACCTGCCGGAGACACAGGCTTTACTGCGGCGCAGTCCAGCGGGAGCGAACGCTCCGCCAAAACTGTGGTAAATCGCGGATGGATGGGGCTGGGTGAAGCTTTCTTCTGGGAACAGGGGAGCAGTGAAGTGGGAGTCCCGAGGGAAGGAGTGTAGGGAGTGGGGCACGAGCGGATGTGAGTGCTGGGGCAGAGCCCAGGGCTGGTGGAGCGCCCTGGGCAGCAGGGCCGAGGAGGCGGCGGAGGGGAGGTGGGGCAGGAGCCGGCAGCGGTGTGAGGCGGTTGCACTGCTCCTGCCTGGGGACAGACGTGTACTGTTGGGGGCAGATTCTGAGCAGGACGCGCTCGCATGGCACCTGGAGAGGCTGGGCGCAGCGGGGAAGGAGCAGGCTGGGGCTTGGCAGAGCAAAGCGGTGGAAGCTGTTGGGAGCGAGTGGAAAAGGGCTGGGCTGTCCTGCTAAGCCTGAGGCACCTCATGGCGTCGGGGGATGAAGACGCGCATCCCTGAGGGGCAGAGAGGCAGCCCTGCACATGTGGTGGAGATGGTTGTGTTTGACAGTGTAGGGGACGCAGAGAAGGAGGTCAGTAGAGCGGGATGAAGGTAGCAGACCTCCAAAACCTGAAATCTCAGGCTGATCTAAGAGCCTTTCCCTTCCCTGTTCCTCTGAGCTCATAAATACAGGAGGACTGCAGCTCCTGTGTGAGAGCAACTTGGGAGTACGCTGCAAAATGCCCCTTTGGGCCTGAGGTGTTGTAGTGAGAATATTGGGTTGTGGCTGCCAATATGTATCATCATGATGTAGAGGAAACTCCTAGGAGAGGATTTCAAAGCCAGATCCAGTAAGTTTGGTCAAGGGAATTGGGTCTGACAGTGCCCGGATTGGGCTGGGAGACAGCTCTGTGCAGAGGCCAGCATGGATGGGAGCGTGACGCACACCTTAGAGCTGAGCACAGCGACCCCGCAATGCCTCCCGTGGACTTCACAGGTTTTGCTGGAAGGTAAACATGCATCTGGAAAGCTAGTTAAAAATACAATGCTCTGGAAGGGTTGTTATCATAATTAGATGGTCTGAAGGTAGACACTTTATTTTTTAACTTACTGTTCAAATGGTTCAGAAGTTCTTACTGTTCTTCCACCAGTTTTTCTGGGTGCTGTGCTAGCTCAAGACTCATGTCAAGAATAAGTTGTTTTGTAGCTTACTGTTGAAGATACCAAACAGGTTATAGTGGCATAAGCTTGTTTCATTTCATTTTGCTGTGCATGAGCCAGAAATTTTCCTTATATTTAACAACAATATGTTTTTGTTTCTGGTTGGAGGATATAACTGGTTGGGGGATCTCCAAGCACTTTTAGACTGACAGTCCAATGTCCTCTCGTAAGCAGAGACTATTTCACTTGCTTCCTACAGTTCTGAATGTTGTTCTTGTTCTCTAACTTTCTTAAATAATTTCTTGTATTTTTGTCTTTCTTTAGGGAGACACCTACCCACTGGCAGCCTCTGCCTGGCACAAAAGCAGCCATGTTGGTCAAGGTGAACAGTTTAAGGCAGGTGCAGAGTTCTTCAAGCTGCTCGCTTCAGCTGCAGAGCGCTCCAGAAGCCAACAGCCAAAAATCTCTTCCCAAACCAGCCATATATGGTCAGCCTCAGTCGCCGAGCCCTGGTGCCACAAAGCAAGCGCCTGTAGGAGAAGCAAAACAATCGATGCAGATCAAAAAGACAGAGAATGGTGGGTTCTGCGTAGTGCTGATGAATGGTCCAGCTTCTCAGACACCTCCAAGGAGCCAGACAGGAACTCCCCAGCCTGCATCCCCCAAATATGCTTGTCCTGCACCTATATATGATGAGCCATCTTTAGAGTCTCCAATTTATGACGAGCCTCCAGTGGATATGGACACTGAAAGTGCCAACATGACCAGGATGTCTCCACCAGTGTCACCAAGCAACAGCTTAAAAAAGCAGCTCCAGCCAGCCAAATTATTACAGCATCCAAGTATGCAACAGCAGCAAGCTGCAAAGAAACATGCAAGAAATCCTTCTTCCACTGAATATAGCCCAGCTGGCAGAGAGTACATAAAACACATGATCAATGTTGACCAATCTTCGAAGTTTCCTCAATCTGCTGCCACAACTGCCGAGGCTTCCGTCAAACTGCCTGGTCAGCTCACTTCAAAGGACAGCTTCAAGCAGTCTTGGAGGATCTTGGAAGCCAATGTCCTCAAGAACATGGAGGCCCACCATAGCAGGCAGAACAGTCTGCAAGCTCAAGAGTACCCAGCTGCTATAAGCCATCAGGATTCTGGTTATTCGACTGGCCCTTCTCCAAGCTTGAGAAAAAGGAAAGGAAGGAGGCAAGGGACAGGTCAAGGAAGACCTGGTTCTGTGGGCAGCAGCAGTGAGCTCACAGCTTTGAATGACAAGCTGATCGCTGAGATGCGTGCCGTGGTGGGCAGGTCAGCAGCTTGCAGAGGAAGCAAAGCCAGCCTTGATACTGAGACTCTGGAGAGCGGCATCCCAACAGAGAGCAGCAAAGTCCGATTTCAGTCTGACCACTTGAAAAAATGCATCAGCCGGAGCTCAAGGGACGATGTCTCCGCTAGCAACAGGTCTCTGTATAGACAGGGCCTGGAGAGCAGGGGTAGCTTTCCCAGTGACATGGCTACTCCGCAGGACACAATGAGGCAGAAGAGGACTTTTGAGAAAATCGATTCTTTAGAAAAGAACGTGACCAGCCAGATGAGTTTGGCTTCATCGGATGCTACACGTCACTCCTCTCAGGTACCTCCTGATCTCTGCTGTTTAAATCACACACGTTTGCTAGACTGTTGTAGTGCTAAGCCGAAGACCTGGTCAGACTTGGAGGGGTTTAGGCTGCGGAGTGCATGCAGGACACGTGTGCCCCTGCAGAGCAGTAAACTGGTTACAAAATTCTACAGCTTTTTAGGTGGAGTGCCCATTTTGGACCAGTGGCCTGGGTGGCATGAGAGAGGGAGGCTCGTGGAAGGGTTTGAGTACCTGCCTGGCAAACTCTCAGCTCTGTGAAGGGTAGTTTAGCAGTGCTGTGTTATTTGTAATGGAGCAAAGAGGCTCTGTTCTGCTTAAGCATTGGACACAGAGCAAAGTACCATTTCTCTAAGGGCTTAAAGGCTGGTCAGAGGACGTGAAAACTCAGAAGAAGCCAGGTGGTCAGATCAGAGGTTCTTGCTGCGCATCTCTCTGCAGCATCACACAGGTCTTCTCCTAGTGTGCTGCAGGGCAAGGACCAAGCCCAGACTTGCAGCTGAGATTAATTTTTTTCAATAACTTTTGGGGAAGTTTTCTCCTGCAGATAGGCCTAGCTGCTTTTTGGAGCTTCCATGCATTTTTGCCCCTGCAACACCCCATTGCAGTGAGTTCCTCGCATTAGTTGCGGTGTGAAAAGGCATTTCAGTGGTCATTGCAGACACATTGCAGATGCCTCTTCTGGTGGTGCCCTCAGCTCTCTGGGGGCAAGAGCCTAGCGAGTGCTTCCTGTTGCCCTCTGGGCAACTGGGCTCCGCGAGGACTCGTGTGCCGCTCGCTGCGACGTGCCCCACGGGCCGGCAGGCTCCTCTGGTCCTTCCTGCGCAGAAGAGACTCTGCAGCTCCGGTCACCTTGGTAGCCCTTGCCCTTGCATGTCCTTTTGAGCTGGGTGACCACATCTGCACGTGATAGATGCAGACACTGGGTTTTATATGGCAACGTGACAGCGTTGTCTGTTTTTCTCTCTCTTCCTTTCCTAAAAGTTCCCTATGTTCTGCTTGTCCTTTTAACCATAGAATTGAATTGAAATATTTGAAAAACTTTTGAAAAAGATGCTGGAGTCGCTATCATGTTGGAAAGAGAGTTCCCATCATCATGCGTGTGCAACTGGAGTAATTTTTCTCAACCATGCAGCACTTGTGCAGAAGTTAGTTTGCTGTCTTTCCTCTTATTTGGATTTGCAAGGCCCTTCTGCTTCACAGTCTTAGTTTCAGTTTTATTTTAGATGTACTTTAGTATTTTAGTTATGTTATTCTACTCTGTGCTCTCTTATCTAGTTATTTCACTCTTGTTCTGAACAACCCCAGTTTTTCTTTCAGGCAAGTCAGCTGATACCAACTCTCCATTGTGAAAAACAACTATTTTTTACCCCTTTCTTTATCTTGTGTCCTGTTTATTAGTCCCTAAGGGAATCATCTCTTACTGCGTGACTCTCCAGATTCTTTTAAGGGCCTTTCGTGAAGAAACTCAGCAAACCTCATTGATCACATCCAGTTGCTTCTGCAGACTTGCGAGGTTCAACTCTTCTCTAAACGCCAGGCCGACGCTCCTTCACTGTGTTTTTGTGCTCTGTTCTTTGCTAACATTTCTCTTAAGGAGTTCAGCCTTACTGCTTGATATAGCCTCTGTTTCTCCTGAAACTTTTTTTAACCTGTGATGTCACATTTTCCCTATTTTCCATTTTTCTGGCTCAGGGCCAGCTCGAGTCTACACAACTCGCACGTTACTGCACGTTCAGCAGTTTATTGTGCAGTCGCCCTTGGCTTCTTGGAGAATACTGTCCAGGCTGCAGGTTTTGCTGCACTTCATTGCTCTGACAGAGTAAAGCTGAGACTTGATATCTTGATTATGCACAAGAGATGGTGCACAGGAGTTGGGGAAAGACCAGGAGTAGCCTTGTCAGTGAAGAAAAATAATCTATGTGTAGGACAATGAAGGAAAACAAAGTGAAGGCTGTAAGGAGACAGATGATGTGGCAACGAGTCAGTAAATAAACTTCCATTTGCAGAAATGCTCCGAGAACTGAGCTGCCGGGTCTGCAGGGGTGGAGGTTGCAGAGATGCTGTGCAAGGGAATTGGGCAAAATTGCTGCCCAGCCTGGAAATAGCAGCATGTGGATTGAGTCACAGGCTGTGTCCCCTGCTGGGCCCGCGTGACGGAGGCGAAAATCGGCAGAGAGGAAATTCATTTTCTCAGAAGGGCAGGCGGAAGCTTTAGGACAGGCTGAGCAGAGGTGGATGTGTGTCATCAGCACAAGCATAACAGCTGAGTAGTTGTGTGAATGAGATGTCAGAGAGAAATTTCAGAGAGGGAAGAGGAAGGAACCAAGAGCCTGTGGAAGCTCTGGAGTGAGATAAGGAGGTGGATCCTCAGAAATACCATACTGCAGGAGCAGTCAGAGAGCAGGAGGAAAACCAGACAGGCACGAAAGGTGGTCGGAGTAGAATGAGGATAGAGTGGGAAGAGAGGAACTGCTGAACATGATTTTTAGGCAGCAAACTGAGTGAATTCAGAGATGGTGAGCAGACAGAGTAACTTAAAGGATTAAAAAAAAAAAAAAAGAGGAGAAGAAAAGCAGGAGACACGATTGTGCCGCAGGCTGGCAGTAAGTGGCGGAATACGGTGTGTGCTGATCCCATCACCCGCGTGCAGATACATGTTGCGTGTGAGATAGGTAAGGGCTGGACCACACAAGCCTCCGTCATGAGTCAGCAGTTCCTCTTTGTGAAGGAGGAAAACAGTAACTTGCTCCAAGTGTTCAAGAACTAACATATTTTGAGCTTGACTGTTGCCCAGGACTGGAGTATAGAATGGCAGGCAGTTTAAGGGCTTCCTGCAAAGAAAGGATAATGCGTGTTTTTCTTAAAAATTTTACACTGTAAAAACAAAATTACAGAAATCCTGTTTGTGTGCATTCAAAAAAAAAAATGCACACAGCTCAATTATTACCTTGTGTGACTTTTTCCTGCCCTTATAGAGGTCTGCATGGAGAATGCAGAGGGAAATGAGGACGGTTTACGACTTAGTGCCTCTGAGTGGGAATTTCAAGACTATCCATGAGGTCTGTTTCCTATAATAACTTGTTAGGCATCTGAGTTAAATATGTGTTCCATGCTGCCACTTCCAGCCAAAAGAGAAAATGCTGAACAGGCAAAATAAGGGTCTTTTCTTCACTGGTGGTTCTTACGCCTCGTTTTCTGGCGATCGGGGCTGCCCTCATTATGTAGTTTCTTAGAGGTATCTGCGGAGGAAGGGGGGACAAGTGCTGTGTGTAAAACTGGCCCTTAAAATCCGTGCTGGAGAGGGCTCTGCTGTCTCCGCTGTGCGGGCGTGTAGACTCGCAATTGGTGGACCTATCTCCAGAGCAAATCAGTGTGATCCATATGCAGCACCCGAGGGGAGCAGATGACTGCAGTTCTCTGAAAGAGAGGAAAAAAAGTCACTTTGGACAATTATTGTTGTAGTTTGGGGAACATTGTACCACAATAAGAAACATTGTTGGGAATCCAGTGTAGATGCATCTGTGAGCGGGATGCGGTGCTGCTCACTGAGGCACTGAAGCCACAGCCCACATCTGCCCAGGGGTGCCGGAGCCCAGGGGTGCTGGAGCCCAGAGGGGCTGGAGCCCAGAGGTGCTGGAGTCCAGGGGTGCTGGAGCCCAGGGGTGCTGGAGCCCAGGGGTGCTGGAGCCCAGAGGGGCTGGAGCCCAGAGGTGCTGGAGTCCAGGGGTGCTGGAGCCCAGGGGTGCTGGGCTGTGGTAGCATCAGCTCCAATAGCAGAGGAGGTGGCCCGAGACGGGTATCCTGGCTCCTCTGCTGCGGATACTCGTGCGGTTGGGTGGTTGGAGCTCGTGACCGAGCACAATGCGGTGGGAAGGCCCAACCCCACGCAGCTGCTGAAATCCTGTTTCGTGCTGATTTACTATGTCGCAGGTGCTCTTAGCTTCGCTCTCTGTCCCTCAATCTCCTGCCAGGACGAGGGACTCGGCTGAGCGGGTAACGTGTCTGTTCTCTGTTGCAGCCCGGGACGATAGAACTGGACGCCAAGCCGGAGCGCAGCGGGCAGCCGGCGGGGTATCACTTCCCGTACAACACCCTGCGGAAGCCCATCTCGCAGAGCAGCATGGCAGACTGGGCTTCCAAGAACCTCAACATGCACACGCAGGGCATCTTCCGCCGGAGGATCTCCATTGCCAACATGCTCTCCTGGAACGGCGGCACCATCAAAAAGCCGATGCTCATCACTAGCAACCGCACCGTCAAAAAAGAAGCTTGTGAGATGTTCAAACTAGTGCAGAGCTACATGGGAGATCGTCAGAGTCGCATGGATAGGAATCGTGTGGCACTGGTCACCGTCACCAAGTGCTGGAGCACACAGGGTTTGCGGGACGAGCTCTACATACAGCTGATCCGGCAGACAACAGATAACACGTGCTACCAAAGCCTGGCCTGGGGCTGGGAACTGATGGCCATTAGTCTGGCCTTCTTCTCCCCGTCACCCAAATTCCAGTCTTACCTGGAAGGCTACATCTATCGTCACCTTGACAGCGATGAAAACAGTAAGTCCCTCACACGCACTGGGGTACGGCCGGCAGCGTTTCGGTGGGTTGTGCCACTTACACAAGTTGTCTAGTTCTAAAAATCAGGCTGTCACCAGCCAATACTGTGGTTTCTGTCACTGAAAGCATCATGTGTGGGCAAGTTCATCCCTCCTCTGTGAGAAGCAGCTGCCACCAGTTCATCTTCCTGCATTTCCTCCTCGTGCCTGGCAAAAGAAATGCCAGCCCTAGGCTGGGCTCATCTCATTGATCAGCCTGGCAATCTCAGTGCTGAAAAGAGCTGGTTTCACCTCCATCACGGGCAGATGGCCTGGAAATCTCTGAAGACGTAATTTGCTTCAGAGTGCTTTAAAGGAGGAAAAAAATAATTGTTAGGGAGCTCTAGTACAGGTCACAAATGGGCCTTCAGATGGCAGCTAGCCAGCGCTCGTGAAGGATGCTGGCCTGTGTTGCAAGCAGATGTGATTTAGCATTGTCTTCTAGAAGCTGCGGGGACAGGCCCAGCATTTCCTGACAAGCAATGTGTGCTACCTCACTCACATATCCGAGCATTACTCCAATTTTAAGTTGCCACGGCATCATGCTTAAAGAAAAGTGCCAGCTGTCAACCTGCAGGATATCTGTGGGCTGATTTGTGAGTATTTCTGTGGTGCTCATTAACAGAGCAGAGCTCCTGTCTAGCGGCACTGTTGGGTAGAGCCTCGCTGCTGTCAGAGGCCTTTTGCTTTCAAAGGATCGGAGCTCGTGCCTTGTCCGGGCTCAAGCTGCTGTTCCCAGCGGAGCTGTTGGCGCACGCCCGAGTGCCCTGCGCAGCTGCAGGGCCGCCGCTCGCCCCGGCACCTCTGCTCCCTCCAGCGCGCGCCAGCGGGGCCAGGCAGCCCTGGGGCTTTGCCAGCCTTTGCTGTCGGCTCTTTTGCTCATGGCAGAACATCAGGAGACCCTTCGCTGCGCTGCTGGATGCGCAGCTGCGGTTTACGTTTCCATGAGGAGCCCGGGATGCTGTTCCTTCTCCTCCAAAAACTGTTTCCTCCAGCTCTGCCTGACCTGGAGACCAAAAATTGCCCTGCCAGCACTGGGACCCAGGTAGTAAGGAGAAGAATCCAAACCATTTCAGGGCCTTATCCCCATGCCCCGGCAAGGCTGGCTGCTCTAGCTCGTGCCCGAGGGCAGCTGTGGTGGTAGTGCTTTTAGTTCCACACTGGTAGTGGTTTCTCAAGCAGAGCTTTGTGCTGCCGCTCTGGCGGGGAGGAGGGCAGAGGGCGCTCGGTCTCTTTGCTGCTCTACTAACAGGGCTTTGAATTTTCAGTTGCACAGCGCATCAAGGAGCTTATGGACCTGAAAAACAAGAAGAACTCCAAGTCCAGGAAAAAGAGGAAACAAAATACTGAAGATGAAGGTAATGGGAGGAAGGATCTTAGGTCTGGCTGGGCTGCTGCGTTCCACTGAAAATCAGACCAGTTCTCTAAGCTTATGAGGCGTGGATTCAAGAGAGCTTATGGCGGGTGCCCTTGTGAGAGGTTTAGCCTGAGAATGGATCCGAATGGAGCGGTGGGGGGCAGTCTGGGGCAAGGCTCAAGGGCTCCCAGGCTCAAGGGCTGGGCAGCAGCGCCGGGCAGGAGGGACCCCGTCACTCGCAGCTGAGACGCGTGCAGGGAATGAGAGGGTTTTAACTTGCGCGCGGACCTGGGGCTGCAACCCACACGCAGGACTGCAGCCTGCGCGGCGCCAGGGACGGCTCCGCTGGGCTCTGCGCCCACGGCAGGGCTGTGTACCCTGCTCCAAGCTGGCCCCGCACACGGCGGCGCGGGGTGCTCCCCTCCTGCCCGGGCTGCGGCACGCAGAGGCAGGTTCCTGTGGCCGTTCCCACTGGATTACGGAGCACTACGAGCTTAGCCTCGCAGTGCAGGTCCTGCAGGAGCGTCTCTGCTGAATGAACAAGAACTGCGCACAGCTCGGCCGGGGCTGTAACACTGGCTGCAGTGGGACAGGGGACACTTTGTCTGCCCTCGGATGTGCCTGGACAAAGTTCGTTCCGGCCTTTTTACACCTTTTAGGACAGTTGAGCCTGCTCTGTGAATCTGTATCCACCAGCAGCATATATCAGGTGCCCTCAGTGTTTCTAATCTGGTTGGGGAGCCCCAGGGCGCAGTTCCTCATGCTGGCATGCAGCAGTAGGAAGCTTGGAAGCGCGACTGCACTCTCCGGGAAGTTGCATGGATCTCCGGGGGTCGCTGCGTCTTTGGGTCAGCTTCGAGTCTGGCAAATGGCTGAGGAGGCCGCTTGGCTAAAGGGCCTGTTCTCCCTGCAGCAAGAAGGCGACTGTCACCTTCCCGGCAAGCAGGCTGGCTGTGGTGGGAGCCGCAGCGGAGACCCGAGAGCGCGTGGGGGATTGTGTTTCTGCTGAGGAATGTGTCCTTCCCCCCTTCCTGCTCAGACCCAGAAGAGTTCAACCAATTCTGAGTCTTTGAAAAGTCGTTTTGCTTGTGCTCAGAGGACTGTGCTGCATGTGCTGGAGTTGTGCTTAGGAAGCCAGGGGTAGTTTTTATTTAAAAAAATAAAATATTGGAAATCGCACTAAAAAAGGCACAGCAGGAGAGCTTTAAGCCTCCTGAATGAGGGGCGGAAATGCCTGTGTGGCCTTAGCTGGTACCCAACTCCGGGTCAGAGCCGATCCCTTCACAGGCCCAGTCGGCTCCGGGGTGCAGCATCATTCCCTGCCCTCGCATGGCCCTCGTGGAAGGACACTCACCAGGAGCTGGGAAGTGTTTAGGTGCATCGAGATGTAGCAGAAACGCAGCAGAGAAAGCGGTAAGGACATTAAATGTTCTGTCTTCAGAATGGCTGAACAATCCATAGGTAGGCACGTATGTAAGTTTTCCAGTGAAAAACAAAGGGAATGAAAGCAGTTTTCTTCAGCTTCCCTCAGCGTAGGGGCCTGTAAGCAAACACCTGGGTGAGCAAACCCTAGACCCCAGGCCGAGCCGCGCCGAGGGCTCCGGGCCCCGCGCCAAGGGCCCCATGTGGAGAGCAGCAGCAGGTCTGGGGCAGGGGAGAGCAACAGAATCACTGAGTGTCCTAGCAGAAGGCCTGGACACCGCTCAGTGTTGTCACCAGGCAGCAGGTTTAACACTGTGTTTTCCAAAGACCAAATTAAGTTGTAGGAGGCTGCAGGGCAGGGTGTTGTGCAGAGAAGGGTGTAAATGAGTCTGAGAAGAAATGGGGCAAATTCAGAGAGGGAACGTTTCTTGCTGCATCTGGTGTCTGTTTCTGCTGCTGGTGGATGTGCACAGGTACACACACCTTGGGGCTGGCGGTTCCCGGGGATGCAGAGCAATTCCGCGGCATGAGGAAGGGAGCGCGGGGGCCAAGACCCTGCTGGGAGCTGGAGCTGCCCGTCCCGGCCAAGCGACGTGAGCGGCCCCGGCGCCGAGCCCGATGGCGGTGCCCGGCCATGCTGGGCACAGGGCAGCGGCAGAGCGGCACGGAGACCAGTGCTCAGCTGTGCTAAACGCTCATCCCGTAGCTGGGCCCCGAGTCCACATTGCTGCATTTTTTAAGAGATTTTTTGACAGGGCGGCCCTCGAGCCGGTTCCAGGAGGTACATTCCTGCATGCACGCTGCCTGGATTTCAGCTTGGTGTAAAAGGAGAGGCTCTTTAAGAACTTATTTGCATGTGTTTTTAGGCCAGCACATGGAAGAATATTTTCCCTCGCAAACTGTTTCTCTCTGCGGTGGCTGTGAGCAGTGCTCTGTTTCCAAGCGCCCCGCGCTGCTGCGGTCCAGGGGAGACGCCGGCTTCCTGGGAAGGCACGGGCTTGCGGTGCGCTCGGGGGTGCGGCTACGGTCGGCGTGGGCCCACGCAGCCGACCCCGAGAAGGAGGAGGTGGGTGCTGGGGTGGGATCCGCAGCCAGCTCCTTAGGAGAACCAGCCATTCCTGATGGATTGAATGCCAGGAGGAGGCTTCCAGCTGAGACCCGGGTGTCCAGGAGTCAGGTAGCTGCTTTTGCAAACAAAGGCTGAGGCTGAATCCTGCTGCTTGCCCTGCCGTTTGCCCCGGGCCTCCTGGCCTTTCATCCTCGCTGCACACGTGCCCCGGGCGCGGGCAGAGCTTGGGTTGGGGTGGGCGCCTCCTCTTGAGCAGCAGTTGCAGGTTTAAAGCGCAGGAGCCGTGCACGGAGCCCGCAGTGGCAGAGCGCCCCGATCACCTCCACTTGTGGGCTCTCCCTCCAGGGGCTCGGGGCCGTGGCAGGAAGCCCAGCCCTCCGGGTGACAGGCAGGAGCTGGACTGTTGGGAACAGGACACCGCAGGGCAGAAAGTGCAGGGGGAAGGTCTGAGCTTTTGCCAGGATCAGGGAGCTCTCCGGGAAGGAACAGGACAAGCTTCCTGCAGACACGTCTCGCACCTCGCAGCCACTCATCCTGCCAGCGGTGCAGCCCTTGGGAGCAGCCAGCTCCTCGCCATCCCTGCCGAGACCCCAGCGCGAGGAAGGGCTCGTGCTGAGACCGCAGCGTGAAACAGGTTTTCCTATTGTGAGTGCTGCCTTCCCGGTGTTTTTCCTGGTACAGATTCCAGGCTCACTTCTTCCCAGTCATTCCTGAGTGAACCAGGTGACGCTTCACATCATGGTGTGCCTGGACACCACCCTTTTAACAGCAGAAGCAATACCTAAAATACTGAAGCTCATTTAGCTCCATTTTTTTTTTCCTTTCATGCTTAAACATTCCCACTATAAATCATGCCTGGCACTAGCAGGATTTTGCCTATAAAGAACGCTTTGCCCCAGGTATTCCCGAGAGCGAGCCAGTTTTCAGCGCGGCTCCCCCTCTGCCGCCACACTCCTTCAGCCTCTGGGCAGGAACACGTCGGCCAGGGGCTC